CCCCCCATCGCCCACCCATTCTAGAAATATGTTGTCAGGAAGTGATGAGGATCGAGTTGACTTTTGTTTGTTCTCATAGTTTCCAGATATAAAGTGAAGGTCAATCTTCAGTCTTTTCGTGTCATGCAGTAGAGAAAAAAATTGGGAGGCCAAAAAGTTTTTCTGATCTTGGAGTCCAGGTTGTACACTTTTTTCACTTTCAGAGTTATGTGGGACACAGGAGAGATGGGAGAAGCCTAAGGTGCTTCATCCGGCAGGATACAGCATTCCTAGTGCCAAATGAGGAATACATGGAAGATTTATGGAACTAAATAGTTAATAAAAGCTGTACTGTTATTAAAGGCTGTAATGTTATTAAAGGCTCTATCCTTTCACTTTAGCTTCTTCAGTGATATGGTTTTTTTTCCTTTTGAGGAAGAAACTTTAGAACATTCAATCATCATTACTCCATGATGAAACAGGAGGTTCTCACTCCGGGTCTCAGTGTACCCCTGAGTTTCTGAGCTCAGAAATCTCATTAATAAGAAATCTGAGGGGGGAGGGGAGAATACAAACTTCTAAAAGAAAAAAAAAAAGAAATCTGAGACTGAAAAATATCTGAGCTGTCTACAAATCCAGAGAGATCAGAATAGCAGATTCAGGTGGAAACTAGGTTTTTCTTCATCCATCCATTCATTTTCCTTCCCCAACCTCCCATAAACGTGTGCTCTCAAGCTCACACCGACATCAGAGTCAAGTTTGCCTGTGGTTAATTTGTTCCTTTTCTTCCCAGTGTTTCTGGGTGTCCTTTGGCAGACAAGACTCTCAAATCCCTGATGGCTGCCAACTCTCAAGAGCTGAAGTAAGTCCACAGAGCGTGGGCTCGCTGCCCCACGGCCCTGTGCTTCCACACCTTCAACCCATCCATTCGGCCTCTGGGGAAGAATTTGCCTTTTCACCTCAGATATCATGAATTTGCATTTCTACCCTTGGGGGACCAGCCTTCACAACCAAATGGGTCCTTGGGGGCGATCATGTCCTTGAAAGGTCAATTAAAGAAACATCCGACAAGGGTGACAAAGGATCACCTCTTCCATAGAGACCAGAACCAGAGAGTGAGGGCAAATGTATTCTTT